CGCTAGTAGGTTGGAGGCCATCGCTCTTAGGTTGGAGGCCATCGCTCATCGCTCTTAGGTTGGAGGCCATCGCTAGTAGGCTGCAGGCCATCGCTCTTAGGTTGGAGGCCAGGGCCAGTGCCATTAGTAACTCCAAAGAAGATCGTGTTCCCTTCAATATTGATTGTTTGTAAAGTAAATTGCTCCAACTCTCCAAGTGGCACCTTCACGTGAGCCCTGCTTTCTTTGCATTCGCCCTCTTCACAGAGCTTTTGGTTCACCTCCCACTCGCTCGAGTTGGTGGCAGGGTCCTGCCGTTGTTGGCGACCGAATGGCGGGGCCCCTGGATGGTCTTCAAACCGACCCATTTCTTCGAAACCATGGTCTTCAAACCCTCAAGTCGTCTACCACAAAAACGGCCGGATTCGCTCCTGGAGTTGCTTCTCTCCGAGGCGCCCTGTGACATTGATGACTTTCCCATCCAATGCCATCACCTTCTCCGTCGCACTCTCCGTGAAGGCCAAAGGTCGCCGCGGCCCAACACGGGCGTGGGAGAGAGAGGGGAAGAAGTCCTGCAGGTCATTGGAGCACTTGGAGATGCTCAAGGGGGTTACACTCCCTTCCACTAACATGGAAGTGGATGGCATGGCCCCGAAAGGAAGACTATTTTCCTCTACCAACAATCGGTTCTCCACTGCCATATTCGTTCCACAGAGAATATCTCGCAGGTGGGTGGCTACTGAAAAAAAAAGGTACGTGCAGTTTTGGCAACGTGCCGGTTTTTCTGATGACATCCAGCACCCGACACGCCATCCACTAAGTGTGGAGCAGATCTGCAATGCAAGAACTAATTATTGTTTAGTTGGCAATTTCGTCCCCACAGCAGGATCTGCCAGGAAACCTATTCCTGTTAAAAGAACTGTTGGCTCCGGCCGCTCCAAACCCTATGATCATGTTGACCCTCCCCCCTGCGCCCATCAGCGCCTCCAACGGCGACACTGGTTCCGTCGGAGCCGCTAAAGAGCTTCCATCGACCAGGGACTGTCGGATCCGACGAGGAGGTGCTACCAGTGCCTGAGCGCCAGCTGTTTCAAACCACACTCTCCGGTTTGCATGGTCCTTGGGCATTGGGTTTTTTGTATCGGTTTCTATCTGTCAGTGTCTATGCGAGGTTGTTGGCAGGGTGCTCCCCAATTCCCAATTATGGGAGATGATTCTGAGTCGTGTCAGTATAAGATGGCATATGTGACTGTGTGTGTGTTATATAGATGTCCCATGCGATTTTTCATGACGTTGGATATGCCACCTGGAACAATGGGACGCGAAGTGACATGGCCACACTCCCAGCAACCATGACTACTAGGGATCCTTCCAGCAGTTCATGTCCAGAATCAATTCTGGTCAGGTGCCCTAACGACCCAGGACAATGCTCCCGCAACAGGCAAGTTATTAATCAAGACAATTATGGTCACATCAATTGCATGTAGGAGACACAAAGCATAAAAATCCTGGATCCCCTCGACGCCAGCAGTTGTGGCGATTGGGTGTCAGTGGGATGTTCTTCATGCAAGATCTCATGCCTCTAGTTAGCCATCCAAAAGCGTGTGATGCCAACTTGATGCTCCAAATTTCACCCACACTACACCCTTCTCCTGCCCGGCCAAGCTCGGCTCAGACACGTCGAAGATGGCTTCATGCCTCATGTCATTCAACGCCGCATGGGAACAGCGCCAAGGGAACAGCGCCGCGGCCCGACCCGACCTGATCAGGTCGCAGCCGTTGAGAACTGGGTCGAGCCAAGTGGGCCGCGGAGGGGATGAAAGCCCGGGCGCCCAGCGGAACGGCGATTGAAGCTCCAGCGTTTGCCTGGCCATCAAGCATGAATGCGTTGGCCTGGCACCAACACATGCAAATAAGTGAATACAGTAGCGTCTCATCGGTGGGTCCTAGGTTTGAAGGAAGATCATGAATCAAGATACTACATGCAAAGTGCATTGCCTGCGATGATGCACATAACCAAAGGCAAGCCTTTGCATGAGATGAGGGTTGAGCCACCACCGTTTACTCGTTCCCTGCATCTCTAAATGTGCAGCACACATGGGGTGTGTTCCCTTCCCTCCCTTCCCTCCCTTCCCTGCAAATTCGCTTGCCCAATGGCGCCGCAGACGCGGGTTGCACAAAAATTGAACATGCAAATCCATGGGATCCTTGGAAGAGACTGCAACCCATCAACTGAGGCGCCCTTCGTAGAGAAAGCCACACGGAAAGCTAATAGATGAAGCCATGGAGAAGCCTCCCCTTTTTGTTGGTACTATTCTGACTCCCTCCGTTTCCCTGGAAAATCAAGGTTACCGTATAACCCTGTGGTGATCCACGTGTCCTGGCCAGGCATTGGCGGTACTCAACTCTCCCACGGCCCAATCTGATTCCAACCCAAGGCACCCCAAAGCCACGGGCTTTCTCGTCCTCCTGAGCTACCCAACGTCATTCCAACCGAGGGAAGAAGAAACTGATTGAACACCCAAAGATGTGGGCTGCCATGCTTCCTGAGGGTGAGGCTGAGGAGATTTATATATATATATACCTATAGTAGTATATAGGGGAAAGAAAAGGAAAAATATATGGATATACGTTTAATATATATATATACACACCATCTCAGCGTGCACTTGAACTCCCACCAAGAAAAGGAAACATCGAAACCACCTGCACCTAAGTTCAAGTGCCTTCGTCTAGTGCACTGAAGTCAACTGCAACGTCAAGACTTCCAGTGCTGCCCAAAAACATCAAGCTCCTCACCACAACTCGACTGTTTCCTTCACAAGGCGATCAAATGTTTGGCGTCCCTCTTCTAGCATTGCCCCCCCCCCACACTGGGGTGGTCATCCCGTGCCTTGCCTTGGACTGCTTGGGCAGGCGCACGGCGATCTCCCGGAAGAGTTCCTGCACCTCATCCGATCGGCGATGTTGATGATACGCATGGTCCGCTGAAGGAGACGTGGAGTGAGATCGAATCCCTATCTTCATGCTCCTGCGTTTAAATATTTAGTTGGTTAATTGTTGTCCAAACGGGGCCCTCCCAACGAAGAATGTGACACATTGGAACTTTCCCGACTCATAGAAGAAAATAGCAATATATCCCCTTTGCCCCATGAGAGGGCAATTTCGCACTTGATATGGATCGACCTTATACAATAACGTACACCAACATATATATATTTGTGAGGCTGTCTCTACTTCTATCATCTCATGACACCTTCCCAGGC